TGTCCGGGCAGCGGTGAACCGAATTACGACGCGCTAGAGGAGAATCCGTTTGCCAACCGTCGTTATCGCCAGGAGCGGGAGGTTCGACGTCTACTCGACAAAGTGAGTGACTCTCGCATGTTCCCCTCCTCCCGCCTCTTTTCTGAGGCTCTCCTAATCGCCCACTTTATGCTTCATCGTACACTCCTGTTTGCTAATATTTTTGACAGGACAAGGAAGCTACCGCTCATCTGTGCAAATACTGTCCTCCAGTTTTACTCTAATTTTAGTAAGAATGTTCGCGGATGCTCGCCAAGTCGTCTTCTGCATTTTCTAGTGGACATTTTCGCAACATTGGACGTGTTTTACGGACCTTTATCCGTATTACTTACCAGTAATTAGTTTGAATCCATTCCCCTTCCTTTGGTTCTTTACGAATGGTTGCCAATACGGTATAGTCTTCCTTAAATGTGGCAATTTTCTTACACTGGACAAGTCACTCTAGCCGTCTTCTTGTTGTCCCGCCTCTCTAAGGAGTCCTATTAGAAAGATGTTCGAATTGGAGTATATTCCTGATAAAAGATAATAGGTACATTTACTTTACACCGGATTGTTTCTCGCACTGTGGTATCCTGGCACTTGACATGTTAGTTTATTTTGTTTCAAGAAAGTGAAAAAGGGCTCGTTTTAACCTTCCCTTTTTTATCAGGAGTTGCGTTGGTAATCAGTAAGAGCATACATTTTCATTCCTTTGCCATACGATTGTCATTTTTTTCCAGGTTCGTAATATCGAAGATGCATTATTAGTTTTGGCCTGGCGACTTCCACACTCTCATTGCGTGCGTTATTGGAGGGATAGGATTTCAGCAAATTTCTGAGAAATTTAAGACACCTTTTTTTCAGGGTACTTCTATGACCAGCGTGTCGGACATTTTTTGCAAAACAATTTGAAGCGCAACATGAAAGCTCGCTTTCAACAGCAGCTAGTTGCATTTATTTGTATAATTCCTCATGTCTTATTTGTCACACTTTATTGACCTGAAGGATTCCACACTCGTCTGTCTGCGACCTGCTCTTCGTAGTCTTCCCTTCCTTAATCTCATCCCCCAACAGTCTAAATGAACGATGATCACTCGTTGCGGCACAAATGTGTTGCGTTAATGGTCAGATGAATTTTCATCAACGAGTGTTACTATTTCCTGACATAAACCAAAGAGCCAAGGAACTCGTGGCTCAATGGTTAGGGCGTTTGATTCTAATCAAAATGTCGCTAGTTTAAGGCTGGAGTTGTGCATCACTTGTGTCTGGGTATGACTGGCGGACGATGGCTAATAAGCCAGAAATGGTCATTCCAATTTCCCTGGTCCTTGTCGGTAATACTATCTGAATGATGATCTATCATTCCATTGGTATCGTCTAAAGCTGCGTTTCCTGCCATCCTCCTTTCCCGCAGCTTGTCGTGGGGTTGTTAAAACAACCCCAGTATTTCTGAGGAAGGTGACCAAGCCAGAGTGCTTCATTGCGTTTTTTGTTTTCTTTCAGTCCAGCGTTTTGCGCCACCGTCTTGCATGCACACGGAGAAGCTGACTCCTCAAGCTTTACTCTTTGTACTTCTGATGCCTTTTTGTGGAAGCTATACGTGGCGGTCATAAGGGAATACAAAACGCTGGCGTGATAATCTTTCTGTACGCAGAGAACTGCAAGTAGTTGCCGGTCCACCACCCCTATCTTGTCTTCATGTGCGTAGCCGCCAACATTCACCCTTCTGGTTGAATCCCTACAATTGAAGATCAGTGTCTTAGAATTCGATGACGGTGAATGATTCTTATGGAATATGTTGCAGTCATGTGCTAACTTCTCCATATTAATGTTATGGTCAACACAATTAAGGTCTGTGGCCTCATCTTACTAAGACGGCGGACCCTGGTATGAGTTGAGTCCGCAGCAACTTGTAGTTAATATTTTATCATTCTATGTGCCTGCGTAGATTGTGTTGAAACGATATGTTTCTTTTGTCGGTGGTTTAGACTTCTTATTTCTTTTATCACAGATTCCGCATACTATGATTTCCATCGATTCCATGCTGGGCAAGATTCGAAAGGAGGATATCGCAGACGAGTGGCAGAAAAAACAGACTGCATTGGTACGAGTTTTGACGATTTAATATTTCCCAATTAACCGGAGAATTTTATTCTGCCACGGCTCTTTAAGAATGAATTTTCGGGCAAGTAACTAGACAAAAAGTCGTTGCCCTACGTAACTAAAAATACCATGAGAATTTTAGAAAGAGGGCTAATAGGATTTTCCGTATTAGGCTGTATTTATAGTTTGAACCACGCTAAAAAGGTTAATTACGCAAGTTGACGCTAGGTCTTCCAGACACTCCGAAAGTAATGACGGAACTAGTTGAGTTTCCTTACACAGAACTAACAGGTGTAGGTTTCTGTGTCGAATAGAAAACGCGTCAGTAAAGCGGACATGGGGCGGAGAATCTGGAGAGCTCGATGCATTCTCTTTTTCAATTGTGGAGACCTTTGTGTCTCCACGGACTGTGTCAAGACAGATTTTGAACGCCTCTCAGCCATCCCCAATCGAATGAAGGACAGCAACACTGAACTTACAGGACAAGTAACAGGGGGCTGACCAAAACCTCAGATGTCATTCCTGGATGGCCCGTGATATCCTCAAGACGTTACGGCAAATACAGACGGTCTCATTCCGGACGAGACTAGCAAATTTCACGGGAAGTATTTTTCATAAATAATGGCGGTTCAACCTCCCCTTTTGTTCGTCCGACATGGAAAACATTGCAGTCAGCAACGCTAAACAGATATGCAACACATGCGGGTCTTCGCTGTGGTGATGCGGTGACTTGTCCATAAACACTTCCTAATGATCGCAACCGTTAGCCCTAAGGAGCACTTCCTTGTGGCCCCAAACTCAGCTCGCAGTGTCGAGCAAAAAACCAAGTGACTTAGCGACCCTGCGCGACTGAGGCTTGATTATGCAGGCTAGTATGTAATGCCGTGTAATGCTCCTCCCAGAGTCCAGTCTATGGCGCAACGAGATTGAGTGCCATGGTGAAATCGCGTTTAACGCCAGACCTGATATCAAACAGTTGGGAAAATATTGTGGGGAAAACGGAGTATCGGAGGATAATGGACCTTGATGAAAACGATTATTTTTGTGGGAATTCGATATAACCCTATTATTTACTCCACACAAATCCTGCAGTAATTGTATGAAGCCCTTCCCGGATATTTGCCGCAATTCATTTGCTTCCGATCAGTGCAGCCGCAGACTTCCCATTTTTATGTCACAGTTATTCAAATTCCACTAGCTGTGTGGATTTAAATTACTACCTCCAAACTTCTGTTAGGCGGTTACCAGTTCCTCGTAAATGAGAAAAATGTCATTGCATGCTTTAACACCTCATTTACCTGCAATTTCCCAGTCACGTGTCATTTTGGTACTCTTTTTTACCTACCGTTTGGTGCTTAGTTAATACTCATTACCTTCTAATTCTCTCTTCCTTCTCTATAGCTTGGAGAAATACCTAAAGTGGCGATGCCCAAAGTTAATCGAAATAAAAAGAAGGGAGGCTCGAGACCTGGGCGGATCGAGAAGAAGAAACAGCTTATTCGTCTGGAGAGAAAACTGTTCGAGGTTTCAAGTGTACTTCGTCAGAAAGTGCCACGTCTCGGAAAGAAGAAGAAGGAGGAAAAAGGACAACTCCCCAGCGACCTATTTGTTAACGAAAAACGTACCAAACGGAGGACGAAATCGGCACTGGATGTACTCATAACGAAACAAAATTAAAGATTTTTGACAAAATTGTGTACCACATCTTTGAAATATTTACTGGGGATGCAATCGGTTGGATAATTTTAGAAAGACAACAAATGCACAACTCTTCAGATTGGGTGCTTTGTGCAGATCCAGTTTATTCTTGTTGGGTCTATTCGCGTGAGCCTGGTCGCATTTGTCCAACTGCACTGACAGCAAAATGCCCGGGAGTCTGAAATGTTAAATACCTTCACTTTTCCAGAAAATAACTTGTCAGGGTGAACTACAATTAAGTTATGCAAATAGTGACTGGGAAGCAGGCTATGCTAATTCTTAAGCACTTTGAATTACTTAGTGGTCCCATCGGTTTGTGCTCGTTACACGCAACTCTGGCCGGGCAAACCCCTGTGCAGTATGCACCCCAGGGAATGCTGGTCATGTACGCCGCTTTTTGGACCAGTACACACTACCTATTACGAATGCAGCCTAATGAGACGGGCTTTTGAGACGGGCTACTTTGGCAAGCTTTATAATGGCATTTCTAAAGAGCGAATATCCTATAGCGCGTAGGACGTCACACAAGAGTCACAAGTATGGGCAGGAATATTCCATGATATCAACTGCAGTGTACTGGGAATCCTAGTGAACAAACTCAAAACCGGCAGGATGATTGTGCTTTCTAGGACTTTTATCCGCTATAGTTCCTAGAAAATGTTGATGGAGCAGGTTGTAGTCGTCAACAGCACCCACTGCCCCGCATAGTTTGGGTGGGATAGATTAAATTTACCTGTTATGACTCTGAGTTTACTTGTAGAATCAATCTTGATGATTATCACATACAGTCAGATGCAAATTTGTTTAGGTAAATAAAATCACAAATTATATATAGGCCCCATCACATGCCATATATGATAGCATAAGCTCTAAAGGTTACCTAAACACTCTGAAACTGCTCGTGTCCGACGCAAACCAGCTTATGTGCGCGGTGCCAGGTTTTAGGGATTTGAAGGATTTCGTTTGTTCGACAGAGTTTCTAGTGATCCGCTTTTAAATCTGGCGAAACTTAGTGTCTGTAATATTTTATTACATCGTCTGTAATACGTATTGAACCCTTAAGGGTTACAGTATATGACCGTAGTAATGCGGAATTTCGTAATAAAACCTAGTATGACACTGTACTCCTTCGTCAAATGAAAACAATAAATTGCAAATTCGGTTGGACTTGTTGGCATTCTGGGAACCCCGGGGTTAAGGATCTGTTTCGGTGCTCTTAGCCCTCAGACAGTTCAATAAGAGCATATAGGACATGGTTCAATCCTTAGTGGTTCCCCTGAACAGACTGATAAGGGTACTATTTCATCTAGTATGTACTCTCGCAAATAGTACTTTCCAATAGTACAGCGTTTGCCACCCTGTGACGCCACTATGACTTATAGCCTTTTCAAAGATCACCCAAATGCCCGTAGAGGCGTTGACTGTATACTCGTCAGAATCGAGAGCACGCCTACTTCGAATAAAGCCTTCACGTCGTGCAGACCACAGATAAGGAGACCCCATTGAAATTCGATGGACCGTGTTTGGTTTTTGTTCATGTGACTATAAAATTAACCCTTTAATTAATGTCTGTCTGCAAAAAGCATAAATAACTTACTTCTTTTTGTTGCTAATTTCCTTTTCAGCGAAACGGTGTCAGGATAGTTATTTCTAAGAAACAAATAATCCGTGTTTCTTGCCCATTCCCTTTCATCAAAAATAAGGACTTCGTTGTCGCAGCTGAGGCACCGCAGTCTGTCGCAGGATCTACTTGGAAAGCGTAAGATATTACCGAGCGCTACCGCTTAGCTCCATTCCAAGTTAGCCCAGGACTAAATTCGCAGCCACCAATTAAGAGCGGTGAACACCTTCAGGTTTAGAGCACGCGGTAAGTACCTGATATTTTGCTGGAAGTTGTTTGGATCGGATTTGGATTTGCACGTTCTTGCATTGTCACAAGCCTATTTTGAAAAAAAATAATGCATATTATTACTTCCTTTCTGGTTAACTCTGACTCAAGAAGTGTGATTATATCTTCGATGTCACTTAATAAATAATATTTATAAATAATACCAACGAACTCTGTATGTATTGCAGCATTATTGCAGTTTTTATCAGAGTCCATGTCTACACGCAATCATAAACTAATGGACAATTTAAAAAGTGTGTGCGTCCTTGTCTGTGGGTTGCCGCGGTGGCGTCTGGGCCACCATAAACGTGCCCTCGGCTGCTTGATAAACACGAGTGTTCGTTGCCCGTTAGAAGAAACATAAAGGAGTCGTATAAGAACGTGTAGTTATCTGGAATGCAGTTTTCTTTTTTCGAATTCGGTGGTTAACAGGAGGTATCTGTCTCTTGGCCTTAGATTACGGCGAAGAATATGTTGAAGGCTAATTTTAGGCCCTTTCGGTGCACTGAGGAGAGAATGGCGTTAGATACGCCTTAAAGTTTGACGTTTTTATGTTGTCTGATAATTAAATTTCTGAAGAAAACTTGTTTAGAGAGAGTTAAAATGCTGCGGAAGGACGGGCCTTGAATTGCTGCATCTGCCTATATAATAACGGCATGCAAAATAGTAATGGTTGGATGCATTTACCGGAACTGCCCCACGAACTCTTGAACCAGGTTCCAAACTTAGGGGTAAAATGGCAAACTCAGACATTATATGCTACACTTAACCATAATGCTTGAACGAATCCGTACTCTAACCTCAAGAGTATCCGTTTGCCTTACCAAACTAAAATCTAGTTGACCCAATTGTGAAAAAACTCGCGGCATTCACAATTGGGTCAACTAAATTAACCAAATCTGCCAAACCATCTTAAAAACTAAAATCTACCGTGAATGGATGCACCTTTAATAAGTATAGTTGCAATTTCAGATCTGGCAGCAATTATGCAATTTAACTGTCTGTTTTTGTATATTTTGAGGGTTACATGCGTTAACCCTTTTCCTTTGTCTTACAGAAACGTTCAGTGCAGCCTGCTCTGGACGTTCCGGATAATCCGGGGCCACATTT